GGTTTGTCAGAATACCAACTAGTGTAACAACAGTTTGTGGTTTGTCAGAATACCAACTAGTGTAACAACAGTTTGTGGTTTGTCAGAATACCAACTAGTGTAACAACAGTTTGTGGTTTGTCAGAATACCAACTAGTGTAACAACAGTTTGTAGTTTGTCAGAATACCAACTAGTGTAACAACAGTTTGTGGTTTGTCAGAATACCAACTAGTGTAACAACAGTTTATGTGTTTAGTGCACAAAAGAGAAAAAAAGGCAGAGTAACATATTACAATAACCGTGTTTCAAACGTATTAACAGGGAAAAGAAATAACTAGGTTTAGATGTAACAACTTAGCAAGTGAATGAGAACACAATCACGTGTATCTTTATAAAATAATCAAGAAGATGATGAAAACAAACTTTCTATTTCAGATGTTTTGAATTATACTTGGTTCATTTAAAGCAGCTCCAGTGAAAATAATTAAGCTATAAGTTACCATATGATATTAAGTCTATAAAATGAAATAAAATTTAATATTGGATAAAAGTTAAAGAATTAAGGGCATACATAGTCAAAAATAATGAAAACCAAACACTTACTTAAAAGAAGTTTTAGCTGTAAGTAGAATAAGATTAAGTCTGTATTTGTTGAGATTCTTACATTAAAAGTTCTTACATTTTGAGCTTCTCCATACAGATATGTTTGAAAATGTTCTTATTTTCGACTTTGAATAATGGACGTGCATGGATTTGATTCCGTTTTTGTGCCTAAGTGTTCATGGGTACACACACACACACGCCTAGCAAGTTGATGTTTTGTGGTGCTGATGTAGGTAGACATACAATCAGTGAAAAAAATACATTTAATTAAGTAATAGTAAGTATTGTTGTAAGCAACAATTTAGCTGTGTTCTAGAGGGAGCTGATAACTATGATAATGTAGTAATGGAGAAACCTTGTTTAATATCTATAGACATTGGTACATTATCTATAAATACACGTAATAGAGTATTCAGGGAGTTCATGAATTCAGAGTAAGGAAAGTGATTCAGAAAGATATATCACATCTATTCACCTACCTAAATGATTAGTAATGAAATTCTGTAAGTAAGTTTATTTGTGAGTTAGGCATACTTACCATTAATCATTAGTTACAGTATTCTCTGCTGAAAAGTTTTGTATTGAAAATTAGGCCTGCAGATGAAAGTGGTTGTAGTAAATGTTAAAGAATAAATAAATTAATTTGTTATTGTTATGTGGATTGTATGCCCTATTTATGTTTCTAATCAAATAATCCAAAACAAAACTGTCCAATGACAGAAAACACTATAACAATATAAAACTGGCATTGCTCTGCAAATCTAAGAAATTCAAATCTCAATCATAAATTCATTATCTTAAGATTTCAGGTATGAGAACTGTCTACTTATATTTTCATTACATTTAAAAATTCGTATAATTTTGCAGCAGGCATTATGTGATCCAACATACTGATACATAATTATATTAGTAAAAGATAACAACTAATTTTTGGGTGCTATGAAATTTTTTTTCCACAACATACAATACAGTTGCTAATCAGAAAAATGTAGAATTTTTGCAATTGCTTTTTTAAAATAAACCCAACAGGATTAATCTTTACTGATCCTTCTAAATAACTAAAAGATAGATATTTATATTAATAAGTTTAGAAAGTGATTAATAAACTGAACTTTAGCAGATCAACATTTACTGAAAACAAAAAGTGCATAAAATATGTTAACTTTAGCAGATCAACATTTACTGAAAACAAAAAGTGCATAAAATACGTTAACTTTAGCAGATCAACATTTACTGAAAACAAAAAGTGAATAAAATACGTTAACTTTAGCAGATCAACATTTACTGAAAACAAAAAGTGAATTAAACGTATTTTATTCACTTTTTGTTTTCAGTAAATGTTGATCTGCTAAAGTTAACGTATTTTGCAAGAGAAGTTGTAATTGTAATTAGAAAACCCTAACTTTTTTGGATGCTTACTTCATTACAGCAAGCTTCAGATACCATGAACAAACTTTCAGTTTTACCAATGGAAACCAAACAGGATGTTGAAGCTTTAGGTGGAGTCTACAGCGACATTGTTTCATTAGGACCACTGAATAATGATGGACTAGTAAGTAGAGCTTTCATAATTTTATATATGCTTACATTTTACAAAAGAAGAAACTGATTTGAAATAAATACAAATAGGTGTAATAATCTATGTCACAAAGTATGCAACAAAACATTTAAACTAATTATTTTTTACTGCAAAAGACTGCTAATCGAGAAAAAATGAATTGATTTATACCCAAATAAAACCCAAGAACTAATCATTACATTCTTACCTTTGCGATATCATCAATGAGGCTTTCTATATTCTCCATTGCTATGGCTTCCAGCTCTTCCTGTGCTTGATCCGTAAGATAACTAGAGTCAATTCCTGGTTTATCGTATTCTGTTTTGAACAGATGATCAACCACAGCTGGATCAATACTCCCATCATCCCCAGCAACATCTGAAAATCAGATCAGAAGATGGCTGTAAATATTTATCATTCCCACATTTTTATCTATTAAATCTCAAAGTGAAGATAAACCAGTCTAAAAAACAAAACTAAAAACATTTCACATAAATATTTAGATCACTCAATAGTAACATATATAATAATGTATATTAATAATAATACAGTATAATCAGTTCGATGGGATACTGTACAATAAAACAGTATAGTCAGTTCGACGAGATATTGTACAATAAAACAGTATAATCAGTTTGATGGGATATTGTACAATAAAACAGTATAATCAGTTTGATGGGATATTGTACAATAAAACAGTATAATCAGTTTGATAGGATACTGTACAATAAAACAGTATAGTCAGTTCGATGGGATATTGTACAATAAAACAGTATAATCAGTTCCATGCCACTAAAAGGCTGTATTTGCTAAAATTGAAGTGGTCCTGACATTTTGGGGCAAAAACCTTAAGCTACTACCCCCCCCCCCCCATTCCAAAATTAATGAAGAGTGAAAAATGGTAATAAAAAATACTTACGAAATTTTATTCAAAATGTGTTCATATGGTCTATAATAATCTGTATTATGAAAAAAGTGGTCCGAACATGGACAGACTGGCCGGAAATAACAGGCTTGCCATAATCACCATCATATAGAAATTCATGCTAGAAATACTTTTTATAGTAATACTGTTTACATAGCGTTTACTTTAAATCCTCTTGTAAATAAGTTTTTATCAAATTAATGATCTAATAAACTTAGATATGAGTTAAACATTGCTATAATGTACCTTCAAGTTTACTTTCTAACCATTTTGTTAATTTTATTTATTAGGATAAAGGAGCTTTGTAGTTTTCCGTATCCGTGTGTTATTTACGAGGTTTATCTGGACCAAGTGTCCGGTGGATTATCCACTAATATTTTCATCTATTTCTACAAATTCAACTGTTTGTTCACCAAATGAGATAAAAAGCAAACATTACGAGGGATTGTAACCTTCTTGACCAATGATGAAAATCAATCGTATCTTGTGATAACAATTCAGCTATAATTACCAGCTACTGAAGGATATCCCAGGGTGTCATTAATTTTCTTTTTGGTGAACTGTGATACTACAGAAGCTTCTGAAGATTTAATCTGACCAGACAGCAGTGTCATCCCTGCATTCAGGTTGAGATCAAACGCAAAAGTTTCATTCCAAGCTTGATATTCTTCTTCAGTAGGTAACTCAGTCTAAAGACAAAACAAAACCAACAAATACATGATTTCATAGTTACCAAGCACAACAAAAACAACAAATACAAGTATTTCATAGTAACCAAGCACAACAAAA